GCAGGGGCAGCCGGGCCCGGCGCGCCTTTTTGGTGACAGCTGCTTGTCCAGAGCGTGCTGCAGGCGGCCACGACGCCGCGGCCTGGCACCGGTGACGCCGCCGTCCACACCGGTGCACAAGCCCCAGTTTCTCACGAAGCAGATGCGTATCTGACATCAAGAACAGAAGCAGCCTGAGGAGAAGGAGACGGGAGTCAGTGCGTCAGCGCCAGGCCGGGCAGCCCGCGCGGCCTCGGGGGCATGGGCCCGGCTCGGCGGCTGCGCGGGGCTCCGGCTCCGGGCCTCTGGGCAGGCTCTCGTCTCTTGAAACGCCATCTCGACTGCAGAACGCACCACAGCGGTGGCTGCTCCGCGGCACAGAGGAGAGCCCCCGAGGGGCGCAGCGGTGCCGTCGCCGGCACTGGCCAAAGGGGCGATGGCGCTCAGCAGAGGCCCCGTCTGGCCCGGGACAGGGTGGGGGCGGCCAGGGGTCTTCTCTAAAAGAAGAGGCCCTGCGGGCACCTCTGACTCCCCACGTTTCCCAGAGGTGACTCCCGGCCCAGACCGAGGGGCCAAAGGCGTCTGAGGCCCAAGCTGCGCTCCTGGTGCCGCTGGGGGGACCTGCGACAAGGGCGCCACAGCCTGGCCACGCTGTCGCTTCAGCGGGAGTCACGGGCGGACGTGGCCCAGCCAGCAGGCCTCTCCTCACGACCACTCTCATCCGCCACGTGCTCAGAGACGGCGTCTCCACCCAGCTGCTCTGGGGCCCTCGCGCCTGCTCAGGCCCCACCGGCTGGATCCAGCCGGCCTGAGCGCCCGTCGCTCGGCGCCCTCTCCTCACAGCCCTGAGGCAGACAGGCCTCAGACACGCAGCCCTGGCCACCCCCAGGCCCCGGTGTGCCCCTGTGCAGAGCACCCTGGGGTGGGCGGGCTCCAGGTCACAAGGACCCCTGGCTCGAGCCCCAGCAGAGCAGGGGCCAGCATGCTGGTCAGCACTCTCAGGCCCTGGTGGACAGAAAGGAGCAGTGATCCTTACAGAGGAACTTCTTGCTTCAGGACACCCCAAGACCAGAAAGCTAGAATGGGGTACCAGGGACGGGTGACAAACAAAATGTGGGGGGAGGGCAAGACGCAAACAGCCAGAGGTGGAGAGTGGACAAAGACAGCACAGGAGGGCAGAAGCCAGGGCACCAGCCTTTGGGCAGTCAGGTGCTGTGCGGTCACCATAGAGGGGAGCCACGTCCTTCCAGACAAGACAGTCATGAGGTCACCGGCTGGTCGGGCCAGTCAGGGAACAGGCTGCCCAACGGACACGCGCACGAGGGGTGGGCTGCCTGGCTGTCCCTCCTTGGCCAGCACCGGCTCGGCCACATGCGAGGGAAAGGGGAGCAGGAGCCCTGGCCTGCGCACCTGGGCGAGGCTCGCTCCACGCCCTCTTCACGGGGGCCTCTGGCAGGAGCCAGGGCGACCCCGTCGGCACGGGCCCTCGCCTCTGAGGGCTGCACACAGGCAGAGCCGGACCTCGAAGCGGCTCCCAGGGGCCCCGTCCTCCCGGCCACGGCCCCAGCTGCTCCTGCAGCAGGCTCTGGGCACCAAGGGGCGGCCCAGGCAACACGACAGGCCACCTCCGAGCAGGGCTGGCCACCCGCCGGTCTGACGGGGCAGTGCCTCTGCGGGCAGAGCTGAACCCAGCCGTCGTCACGTCGGGGACAAACCCCAGTCCGGGGTGGGCAGCGCCACTCGCCTGTCCGTGGGCGCGGGGCATGGGCTGCAGGGCAGCTGGGCCAGCAGAAGCCACAGGAAGCAGGGAGGGCGCAGATGCCCGGCGGCTTCCGCAGCCCCCAGCCCGAGCCAGCTGTCTGCGGCACAGCACGGCCGGAGCGGCGGCCGGTGGGCCTGGCCGGAGCCGGCGCCTCGTGGCACACAGCTCCTGTCGCGGGCGGACTGCTGTGCGGGGCGAGTGTGCGGGGCTGGACTCCGGGCTTGTCTGGGAATCAGAGTGCGAGCAAAACGGTGAGAAAAAGTTGACTGGAGTCAGACACTGGGCGCTTGCAGGTGAAAGTCCCCGAACCCCAGGGGCCCAACGGCTGACAGCCTTCCCGCAGAGGCCGCCTCACACCCACCTCGTCGTCGTCGTCAGGCACCTTGATGGCGTTGTCCGGGGACTTGGCCGGCTTCTGGCCGCCGGGGCCGTTGGGCTCCGCCTTGCCGTGCTCCGCCTCCCACTCCTGCAGGACCTCGTCTATGTTGAAGCGGCGCCGGTAGTTCACGAAGAAGTTTTTCACTTGTACCACGGACTTGTTCCCGATCACATCTGAGATGGCCTGGAAGTCCCGGCCGTACTTCCTGATGGCTGAGGGCGCAAGGGAGCGTGTTTCCCACGGAAGAGGAGACCATTTTCAAGACACACACGGACGCTCGGCCACGTCCTGGCAGGGAGGCCCAAGGCCGCAGCCGGCGTGGCCCCGCCCCGCCCCCGGGGGGCGCTCCCGCCAAGGGGGGGCACAGCCCAGGGAGGCGGCTCTCCGGAAGGGGTCTCGGCGGGAAGGCAGGCTGGTGGGGAGCAGGCGGGCTGTCCCCACGGCGCCGCCCGCGGAGAAGGCCCTCACCTTGCACGGCGAGAAGCTGCTCCTCTGTGGTCCACCGCGCGTTGCACTTCTGGGCAACCTGGCAGCAAACGAGCGTCAGCGCACGGCAGCGGCAGGGCCGCCCCCGGCCGGGCGAGGCCTTCCTCGGCCAGGATGTCAGCGTCGCCGGGGCACGCGAAACCATGCCCGTGCCCGCCCACGAGGCAGACGCTCGTGGCTGTTAAGCGCTCGGTGTCACCCCGAGACACCTGAGCATCGCCTCACCTCTGGCAGCCGGTACGGCTCTATCCCACCGTCGAGTTTTTCTTTGAGAGCACTGTTGGTCTGCTTGATGTTCTGAATCTAGGAGACAGAAGAAAACATTTTCACTTCAAAAATGAAAAGAAACTCAAGCTTTAAGAACAGAACTGAGCGAGCCCGAAGACACAGAGGCCACGAGCGCCGCCGGGCAGCTGCCACAGAGGGGCCACGCGCCGTGGGCGGCCGAGACCAGCCGCCTCGCAGGGGCACCCGAGCAGCAGGCCCGCGCCCGGGGCCTGACAGAGACAGGAGCGCGGCCGGGCTGCCGGGCCCCGGCCCTGAGGAAAGCAGGGGCGCTGGCGGTGAGAGGAGCCCCGGATGCCGGCACAGCAGGGTTTCCGCATCACAGCTTCCACGCGAGCGGCCTTTCGCTCACCGGCCTCGGCCGGTCAGAGGCTCAGGGCCCTCGCGGGTGGCGCAGCGGGTTTCAGCGCAGCTCTATGAAGCTGCCTGGCCCCGGCCAGGACTGGCCCCAGACCCCCCCTCAGCAGTGGGTCTCAGTGGACCTGGCCGCTCTGTTCCCGCCTCTGCCTCTGCCTCTGCCGAGTCCTCCCCCCCCCCCTGCACCTCTGGCGGCACCCAGCTTTTGCAAGCGTAAATAAATGATCTTTTTTAAAAAGCACAGGCTTGCGGCCGCCTCTCCGCCACCCGGCAGGCCCCGCGGGCAGCACCATGGACGCCGGCGCCAGGCAGCTCCCGCTCACGCTAAGCAGCAGGAGGAAGCCGGGCTGGCCCCGGGGGGGCATCCGTGCCCTGCAGCAGCCCTCCCTCTCGGGGGCGGCGGCGCGGGAGGCCGCGGGCCCCGACTCTCACCCTCTCAACGCCACGCAGCTCTCGGGGCCGGCATCCCACACCCCGGCTCCGCAGCCACCTCCCCGTGCCGCGCCTTCCCCGGGGCTGAGGGAGGGGAGGCGCGCGGCCACGCTGCCCCGTCCGCCAGGGCGCCGGCGGCTCCGCACAACCCGAGGCCCGGCCGCCCCAGGCCTCCCTGCGCGGCGCCAGTCGGCACAGGCGTGAGAAGAAACGGGCAGGACAATGCACCAAACTACAGTAAGGCCCCAGAGGGGACCTGGATCTGCAGGGATTTGCTTCGGCTTCTTCCGAAGAGGTGGGCGCGCAGAACGGGCACAGACCTCCCTCTCGGCGGGCGCTGCCCAGCGC